GAAAAGTTAGTAGAACTGACTTACATTAGAATTTTTCACAAATCAGTCTTCAGCTTTGCTATGGAAACGTAAATAGAATAGGCATTAACCTAAACTGCCACTCTTGCAACAATTCTGGACAAATAGGACTGTATTATATAATTTTTCTGTTGTTACAGGATGAGGTTTTCCATTGGTTTTATTATGATAATTATTTTTGAGTCGAGCTTGGGAGGTTTTAAGTAGCAGGCATTTGTTTCTTTAACCATTTAACAAAAATAGGCAAATAATGGTACTTTTTCCCTTTCTCAAAGTTTACATGACTATCTAGAGGAGTGAGCCTGAGAGTGAAGTGGGAGAGGCAGGTCCTGGGGGTTGCTGAACAAACACTTTTCCTGGCGTGAGTCTGGCAGAATGAAGGAGAGGGACTTTGCAGCTTACAGCTGAAATCTCCAGTGAGTCAGAGAAAGTGAGTATAGGGTAATTTCAGTGGGGTAATGAACCTGAAAACAGGGAAGCATTCATCATAATCTTTGCAGAGTCCTGTAGAGGGTGTGCTAATAGCAGGCTAATGTTCACCTTGCAGTTGTTTTACAAAAGTGACTCATGTTCATTATCATCAGTATTTGGTAAGTGGTCAGATTTACATTAGCCATGTGCCTGGTTGCTGAGAGGCTGGACCTTAGGGTTAAATGTGAAGACGTACTCTTATGTATGTCTTCACGTATCACTCTAAGAACACTCCTCTGAGGAAGATACCGCCCTGTTTTACAGACGAGGCATCAAAGTACAGAGAGGCTAAGCATCTTACCCAAAGACACATAGTCAATAATACAGTCAGGATCTGAAACCAGGTTTGGAGGTCTGGAACTGGTGTTCTTGACATTATTTATATGAAGATACTAGGGTTTTTTCTGCCTCTGTATGTTTCCATATGTATAAGTTGGTCATTGCTACTATAACAAAGCACCAGAAACTGGATGGCTCACAATAGAAATGTCTCAGTGATCTGGAGACTAGAAATCCAAAGTCAAAATGTGAGCAGGACTGGTGTTTTCTGAGGGTTATGAGACAAGCGCCTGTTACAGACTGCTGCTCTTGGCTTGTAGATGTTTCGCCTTGTGTTTCTTCGTTATCACCCTCCCTTTGTTGTGAGTCTCCAAATTTCTCCTTTATGCAAGGACACTGTCATGTTGGGTCAGAGTCTGTCCTAGTCCCCTCATTTTAATTTGATTACCTCTGTGAAGACCCTGTCACCAAATAAGGTCACCTTCTGAGGTATTGGAGCTATGATTCTGGCATATGAATGGGGGGTACAATTGAACCCATAACATCAGACAAATATCTTACAGATCCCATACTCTAGCAGCTGCACTTTAGATATATTGTTTACAGCCGACAGGCTCTCCCTATTGCCCCTTACTGTCGTTATCCATTTTATTCACTCCTTTGACTAACAGCTATTTATAGTCACCGTTAAAGTGGGCCTGCTCACTGGAGTAAGTTTCAGGTCAATAAAACATTCAGTGGACTCTAATTTAATTAGCCAAGTTACTGGGACAGCTGCTTTGTAACTCTGGTTCACAGACGGACCAGGAACAAAGACAAGACCAGCAGTTCTCTTTGTTGATTCCAGGCACCCCTGACTCAGCTCAGGCCCTGGGAACTTTATTCCGGTTGTGGCAGGAAAAGAGCAATGCTGGCGGGGCTTGTTGGGATTTTCTACCGTGCATGTTTCTTTTGAAATTAAGTAAGGCCGTAGTTTCCTTTCCTCTTTTTTGGGCTTATATCAAGTTAGCAATCCCCTGTAATTTAAAATGTTCCTGCAAATCCCCTTTACTATAAGGCCTTCAGGACCTAATACTGGGATTTGATGGCTGTTTCACCCCACCCATCCAAGTTGACATTGACATGGCTCTTTAAACTTCTGCCTAAACCCTAGTCCTAGACCTGCCTCTTGTTTCAAGAGACACTGACCCCTTGCAAGTCTTCTCACTGGGTCTGGGATGCAGCCCTAGGGAGGGGAGAGAAATCTGGATTTAGAGATGGAAGAACCAATTTTCTTGTTCTTGTCACTCATCAATGTGAAATTGGGCAAGTTGTTGGGCCCCTCTGCTCTTGGTGAGGTTAATAGTCAGATGGAGACAGATCCCCAGGGATCTGTCAAACGTCAAAGCAGCTATCCCTACACGGTTGATGTTAAAAGTGATTTTACTTATGTCATATTAACCTTGTGATATTACTAGGGTCATTTTGTGGTTTCTGTGCTGTGCCCATCATGTCTGAATTGAACTGAATTTGGACTGAATTCTAAGAGAGAGAGAACTTTGCACAGTCTCCCACCCTGCACTGTGTACAATCAGGTATTAATAGGCTTTGACGGATGGAAAGCTGGTCTTGAAGAAGACCACTGGGTGACAAAGTGGGTATCAAGGTTGCACACGAGAGTCTGACCTCTGAGTCACCAAGGTTTTACACTCATGTCAGTTATTAAACATTGAGTTAAAGTGTTAAACAACTATCACTGACCTACAGAGGATGTTTAGGAAGCTGTTTTTAGTCAACATGATTGATACTTTTTACTCCTTTATGTCTGAATTAAAGCAGATGAAAATGTACTTTGTGCCCAACACTGATGCCTCTGACTCATCTTGTGGGGAATTCTCACAGTCCCGTTTGGCTGAGTAGTGGGAAAGTTTAAATCTTTAGATATGAATTTGAATGGATCCTAAGCTAAAAACTCTTAACTGAAGTGAAAAAAAGGAAAGTGAACAATTTTGGAGGGGAATTTTTATTTATAGTATGCAAATTATAAACTTTATATTTTACTCTGAGCTTGCAAAATAATCCAGAAACAATGGATGTTTTTTCCTTCACTTAGAAATAATTTCCTAGAATACAACTCGGGTCATTTTTTTTGTCTGAATATTTGAACAAGGGAAGCCTTCTTTCCCTTCTTCCTGGGAATGCATGTTCCTGTGTGGAGAGGCGAGAACTCCTTTTCCCTCCCTCCCTCCCACTCAGGCTGCCACAGTGCAGTACAGGGACAGGAATGATGCTATTTTTTAATTTTTTTATTTGAACACTGCAATGAGCCAGTAATTGGTTAAGAATAACAATGTTCTTCTCTCCCCACCCCCCCAATAAAGTCTCTTATTCTGGACTGGAATTAGTTTTGTGATGGGTTGGCAGTTGAGTTGTAACTTGAAGCCCCAGTAGTTTTCTGATTACAAAATATGGGAGTAGGACATTCTAGATTGATGACAAGCAACTTACACAGAATGTTTTCTTCTGGGAGTTATACAGTTCTGACTGTTAACATATCAGTCTAATCCATTTAGGGCTGATTTTTGTTTATAGTATAAGATAGGAGTTCAGTTTCATTCTTTTGCAAATAACTGCCTAGTTTCCCCAGAACCACTTATTGAAAATACTGTTTTCCCAGCAGCATATTCTAGCATCCATTGTCCTTAATTAGTTGACTATTGGCTTATTTCTATTGAGCTGTGTGCTTATTTTTGTTCTTTTTCAAGATTGCTATGGCTATTTGGGATCTTTCAGGGTCCTATATAAATTTTAGGATTGCTTGTTCTATTTCTGTGAAAAAATGCTGTTGTAATTCTGATAAAGATTACATTGGATCTGTAGATTACTTTGGGAAGTTTGGACATTTTAACAATATTCCAATCCATGAACACGGAGTATCTTTCCACTTATTTGTAAATGAGTTTGTTTTTCAAAAAGTAATATCTACTTATTTATGTCTCTTAGTGTTCCTCCTCCCAGTCTGTGAGTTCCTTACCTATAACTTATTCAGTTCTCAAACTCAGACTAGTTCCTGCCAAACAGAAGGTTATTGAAGAGTTTTTTTCCTAGGAGGTCTCAGAGCCAGGGGATCTCAGCCCCAATCATCACTGCTTTTTCCTGCTCTGTGATTCACAGCTCACTTCTGTCTCTTCATTATATTATGTATGGAGAGTTCTGTGGGATGAACATTGCTCAAAGTTGATACATACTGAGTGCAGAGGAAAATAGGGGACAAAAAGTAAAAGTAAAGCCAGTGTGGGGGAGATTCAGCAGCAACGATAGCAGCAGTAATGGAGGTGGCGGTGGCAGTGGCAGTAGTAGATGTAGCTATTCATTGAATCGAGTCTATGCTAGTGCCAGGCTAAGAACTTTGCATTCAGTATCTCACTGAATTCTGACATCAGTCCTCTAAGAAAGATACAGATATCATTTAGCAGGGGAGGTTGAGTGAGGGGGAGGGCAGAACTGGAGTTGGATGAAGACCTGGCTCTACAGTCCACGTTTTAAACAGTCTCAGCTGAAGAATCTTGGAGAAGCATTTGGAAGAGGGGAGTCACAATTCCCTTTCTCTCTCTCCTTCCTTGACGAAAGAGAGGTGGCTCACAGATGTGGAAGATTTTTCTGGGCTCCGTTAGCTGGGTGCTCTGAAACAAGGTAACACGGAGTACTGAAGCCTCCCTAAGGCAGGTGGGACAGAGAGGCCCCAATTCCCTGGCAGTGGGGTGACAGGTACATGCAGCCCTGAGGAGGGAGAGAACAAAGATCCTTTATCATCACCCCCAACAATTCCAACATGGTGACAGCCCAGAGTGAGGGAAAGCCAGCCCACACAGAGACGAGATGTAACCAGAGGGCTCAGACACAGTTCAACAAACGCTGATGTCAGTCTCTCCAATACAACCCTGCCCCAGGAAGTGGGAATTGTGCTAGCATGCATGGGGCACGCTTTTTGGCACTAGAGACCCAATTGCTGAGCAACAATAGCTGCCCTTCCCTCCTCCCTGTAAGCTTGTTCTGTTTCTAAACTTCCAGTTAGTAGATGGGAGGGACTGAGACTGCCCAGCCCAGCCTTGGCCCCTTTTCCTAAAACAAGGGTCTATTCATGGTTTCTGAGCAGAGTTCATTGTCTTTCTGCTGCATGTTTGTGTGTGTGTGTGGACGGGGGCTGAAGGGAGGGGCTGTGTGCGAGCTAGGGAGGCCTCACCCTCCAGCCAAGCAGGCAGGGCTATTTAGTCAATACTGACCCAGAACAGGGACAGAACTGTGCCTTGCAGACCCTGAGGCTTTCCATTGGTGCTGCTGGTCCTTGTGGTAAAGCTACACCTCTGTTCTATCTCTGCTCTGTCCTGTCTGTCTGTCTGTCTCTCCCCTCCAGTCTGTCTGTTGGGAATCGTGCTGGTAGGCTTTGAGGTAGGACGGCACTTGAGATGAGGCCTGTTTCAAGAATAGTGAGACAGGAGGAAAGTTTGGATATCCTCTGGAACTTTCTCTAGACCAAGCCCTGCTTCTCTTCTCACAGGGAAATCAGCTCAAGAGAAATTATATCCCCAGTGAAGAAGCCCAGATTTTACCCTTGTTGCCTCATCTCAGCTTTCTTCTGGATGCTTGATCGACTCTCCCAAACTTGCTGTTTTTTAGTCTCATTGCCTGTGGCCACTAACTTCATATCCAGGTACATTGGTTTGTGCAAGCCAGGACCTTGTTTCTCTTACAGAAGCAAGACCTGCTGATAGTGAGAGCGCCAGCCATCAGATTCTGGGCTGCGACTGAGCTTTGAGCTGGGGGTCCAGTGTTTTTCCCCCAGATCTTGTTTTTCTTTATTCTTCATGACACATGGATTTTTGGCAAATGCTTGACTTTGTTCTTTATTGTCTTTGCCTCTTCATTTCTTTTTGCCTGAAATACTGAAAACCCACATGTCATTTTAAACCTTGTTCAGGGCCCTTGTTCAGGGCCCTGTCTGAGAGGCTGCTGCTTCTAGGAAGATTTTCTTGATCTCCTTGGTCAGAAGTAAGCTTTCCTTCACCAATGGCAACTCACCGGAACTTTACTTCAGTCACTTAACGTGATCTGCTTAGTTTCCATGACTTGTCTTCAGGACTCAGCTACAGATACTTTAAGGTGTCAGTGATGGAGGTCTACGCTAATTTATCTTGAGCTCCCTACTGTACCCTCCACTGTGGTCTGTCCATTCGGGCTCAGTAATGCTCACTGAATCCCTGAATGGTACTTGCAGGATGAGTTCTTCCTCTTGACAGGTGGGGATAAAGAAGGGCGGAACTTGTGGCCCCTGGAGTGATGCTGAGGGGTTCAGTGGCTCCCCTCCATGCTTGTGGGAGGCGAGGAGAGGGTGGGAAAGAGCACGGGCTTTGGAGTTGTCCTACTCTGGGCTCTCGTCTCTGCTTTGACTCATACTGGCAGTGGATGAGTATGGTGGTTGGTGTTAGGGGTTCCAGGAGTACAGAGGGGGGTTGGGGGTGCAACTATGGAAACACAGGGAGTTGCCACAATGACGACTTGTAAGTGGTTGTAAGGGCATAGCTGGGGCTGGGTAGTGGGGATTGATAGTGGGCCGTGGTCACTTCTTGGTGTGGGGACTCCGGCTGACTGACAACTATTTCCTCAGAGCATGATGCTGGATGGCCAAGCATCTGTGGAAGCTCAGTGTGCAGAGGAGGACCCAGGACCTGGAGTCTTCAGAGCAGAGCTGGAAGACCCACTACAGAGGCCCAAGGCCCATCAGCAACCCAGTAGGCCAGATTGGGCCATAGGGGAATGACAGGGTGGGGGCAGTGAGGGATAGTCTTTCAACATCCCCCAGACTTTCCTCTTCCACAGATCCTTGAGTCTGCTCCAAGTAACTGCTGGTGAGAAGTTGTCTCACTATTCTAGACCTGCTTTTGCTCTGTTTCCCATTTTTGGAAGTTGAGTGGGACCTGTGTGGGCTTCAGTGGTGATGGGGCAGGGAGAAGTGAGAGCTCCCACCAGCCCAGGGACCCCCTAAGTCCACGATGGTGTCTCATGTGGGGTGAGACTGGCAGGCAGGAGCAGGCCACCCAGCTACTCCTCTCCGTCTCCTCCACAGCCCCTCAGGCCAGACGCTGGTGCTCAGGGTGGCGTGGCTGTGCGGTGCTTGGAGCCCTGGGATTGCTGGCTGGTGCGAGTGTCGGCTCCTGGCTCCTAGGTAGTGCTGCCACCGTTTGTGGGCTGGGGAGGGACAGAGAACAGGTGCAATTACTGAGTGATGTTAAAGGCAAGGGACAGGGGCCTGGTCTATTCTGACTAGATAGCATAGTTTAATCAGGAAGGTTTTAGGCTCTATGTACAGAAGAACATTTTAGTTCTAAAGTGAGAAGTGTAAGGTACTTGAATGGATCATCTCAGTCAAAAGTGTCTAGAAATCTTTCAAGAGAGAGTATGAGAGTAAGCGCAAGAATGAGAGAATGTTGTGCCTCCTTAACGTGTTGCTGGGGATCTACCTGAGGCAGGGTGGTGGGTGAGGAGTCCTCAGGAGGCTGCTCTCGCCTCCCTCTGCCATCAGTGTCTCATTCTACTCCTTGACCTCTCCTGAAGGAATCTTTTCTTCCCCTGACCTCTCCTCTGTGACCCTTGCCTGTCCTTGTCCTCTGAAGTGCTGTATCTGTGGCCAGCTGCCTTGCAGCCCACTCCTGGGACCTTGCAGGATGGGGAGATGACATTGAGCTGCTCAGAGGCCAGCAGTGAAGAAGTCCAGCTCCCCTCACTTCCCAGAACAGGTGGGCCACATCCCCAAGGCTCCCAGCCCACCCCATGACCCCTTCCCAGCTCTGGGACCCCCCCACCCTGTCGAAAGGAAGGGTCATAATTTGCTGCCACCGATAGATGCCTTCTCCTCTGGCGTGAGGGTGCGACCTGGCTCATCCTGATGATTGATTTGCGCTTTCAGCTCCCTGGGGACCATACTGATCTCTAACTGGGGCATTGTGGGGAGCCCAGGCTGCCAAGAGGGATGGCCACTGCCATGTGGGGGAGGGGAGCCGGTATTGTTGGGGAAGAGGAGCCAGGTGTGTATGGGGTCAAAGTGTGACCAGCAGGGGCCTTTGCCCGGTGGCCACTGTCTTCCCACCCCACGGTGTTGTGGAGGTACGAGTGACGGAGAGTGGTTCGAGGCAGAATCAGTCATAGAATAAGCCTGCAGCCTGCCATTTTAGCTGTGAGACATTGGGCGCGTCACTTCTTTGAGCTTCCACTTCTTATTCTATAAAATGGAAAGAAAACTATTTATTGCCTAAGATTATAAGGATAGTGTAAGCTAATAAAGAAGAGAGCTTAGCACAGAGCCTGGAAAATGCACTGAATAAATGGAAATTCTCAATAGCATTGTCAGGAGAGTTGAAGTCAATAGACCTGCACCTAAGCCTTGAATGCATCACTTAGAGCTCTGGGCCTTGGTTACTTGGCCTTTGTGCTTTGGTTTTCCCTTTACAGGGCAGGGTGGATGGCAGGGTGGATGGCGAGTCTCACCTCACGGGAGGCTGGGAGAAGAGCAAAGGAGCACCTTTGAAAGCACTAGGCTAAAACACAAAGCTGAAATAATCCATAAAGAGGGATGGTTTTGTTCTCAGCACTGGCCAGATGCCCTGGGGAGCAGACAGCCTGACATTGGGTGACCAACTCCCTCTGCCCAGCCCCCTCCTCTGCCTCTCAGCAGGGGTCAGGCCCTGCCTTCATGCCACGGGTTCAGTATCTTTCAGAATAAAGCCCGAGACCTTCTTGCTGGAAGTGCAGGTGATGCCCCAACTGGACTGGCTGCTCGCCTGCCATGAGGGCTGGAGCTCTGCCCTGGGGGTACAGATCTGCCAGAGCCTTGGGCATCTCAGGTAATGGCCAAACTGGGGTCAGAGGGGCGGGGTCTGGCAGGAGGGAGGTCTGAGGGAGACCTGCCTATGTGCTTCCCCATCAACAAGCTCAGGAAATGGCAAGAGGCCCTTTTGGCCACCTCTTGGGCTCCGGGCACCATAGTGTCCTAGCCTGTTTCTCTCCCTGTGCACCTCTGCTTTCTAACAAACGTAAATTTCAGAAGACGTCACTGTCACAGTTTTGCTCAGCCACTCTGCTGGTGCAGAATCTATGCACAGTCTGGTTGTGACTAACCACCATGTCTCATCTGTAATTTGAAGCTATTTTCCTCTATTCTGTGCCCTTCTGCCAAGCCTCACTCACCACAAGGGAGTGAATCTGTCTGACATCAAGCTCAGCAGTTCCCAGGAGTTTGCTCAGCTGTCTTCCGGACCAGGAGGCCTCCCCAAGGAGGTGTGGCAGCCCAGGTAGGGCTTCTGAGGTGACAGATGGGACCTGGTCCCAGTGAGCCTTCCTCCCAGTTCCCCTGTCACGGCAGTCTGGTGGTGAGGACATTGGCAGCATAAGACAGGCACACAAAAGACATTTCCCAACCAGAAACTACAGAGCTAGTTCATAGGAACCTTCGTTGTTTTGCCTTTGTTATCTTTTTAGCCCCTGCAAACTGCAGGATTGGCGGTCACTGTCCCAGGACTTGAAATAGTGCTTTGAGTTCCATCTTACAAATGGAGGAACTGAAGCCCAGTGAGGCAAAGGGCTTTGCTCAAGGGCACATCACGAGGAAGCAGCTGAACTAAGCCTTGAAGGCAGGCTCCTAGCTTCAAGCAAAGCGTTCTCTCACCCCTGCCACACTTCATTTGGACAGTCCTGTTATCTCAGAGAGATGATTGAGTTGTTCTGCCTAGGAACTGCTGGGTGCCTGCATACCCTCCAGAGTAGAGCAGGTCTTTCCCCCAGTTCTGGGTGTGTGCTGGAGTGACTAGGGCACAAATTGAGAGAGGGCTGTCGCCCTGCCTGCGTTTCCTCCTCAGTTGGCTGGCTGGGTGGACGTCCTTGCTGTGCTCTAAGGCCTTCTCATGTGCTCTGGTTTCTTTCCAGGCCTCTCCTCTGTAGCGCCTGTCCTCTGAGGGCCCCTCGTCGGAACATGGCTACAGGTGGAGGAGGCTTGGAATGTTCCCCGGCTCACACGCTTTAGTGGGCAAAGGCGAGAAGGGATGGGACTGAACCTTTGTCGCTTTGGGAAGCTAGGAGGGATGAAGAGGATCTGGGCACTGGGCTGCTGGGGGCCCAAGATGAGTAGAGAAAGAGAAGAGGACTTTGGTCCAGAAGGGATTGAAATTGATGCCAAGGAGGAGGGGGAAGAGGAAAGCAAAGGTGTGAGCATGCTGGCCTGGGGCACAAGACTTGGATGGAGGATCGTGTAACCTAGGAATGGGGTGCCCAGAGCCCTGTTTGCTCACTCACCATCCTGTTTCCATCAGGCATGTGTTTTTCAGGGGCACTTTGTGGGAACAGCTGGGCTTCTCTTCTATGAATATCATGAAATCTATGACGATAGACCATGAAAGTCTATCTTGACTTGTGATTCTGAGTCCAGCCCAAATCCATTTTTGAAGACCATGCCCCAGGGTGACTGGGCAGGATGCCCACTGCTGTCCAGTGGCTTCAGTTCCTCCATTTGTGCCCACTGTGGGCCCACACACTTGGCCCGCCCCCTGCCAGCCCCTCCTCACAGACACAGCTCTGCCAAACAGTTCCTGGAGGTCTGTTACAGGGAGGCCTAGGGGCTTGGCTGGGGGCAGGGAGCCAAAGACTGTGGCTCCTGTGGCTCCTGAGAGACCATCGCCTGGCCCATCCTGCCAACTGTCTCCACCCTTCACACCCTCTGGTGAGTGAGTAGCTTCAGGGCGGCCCTGACCAGTTTCTTGCTGGCACCTCTGTTTTGCAGGGACAGCTGCACTTCTGGCCGAATCGTCTCCCTCAAATGCTCTGGTGAGTCATGCCTTGGGCCCAGGAAGATGGGGATGTGAAGGAGACTCCCGGCCCTGAGTGTGGAAGAGGCCCATACAGAGGCTCAGCCAGCCCTAGTTAGGGTGCTCACATACTTGGCCCGCCACCTGCCAGCCCCTCCTCACAGACACAGCTCTGCCAAACAGTTCTTTGTAAGCCTTTGCCCTTTCCACTTCCTCCAGCCCCTGGCCTGGTCAATGATCTCATTGCTTCACTGCCTGCCACCATGTGCCCTCATCTCTGACATTTACTCCCCCCCCCCCTTTTTTTTTTTATAATGAGAGCCCCAAAGCTAGAATTATTATTGGTTTAACCTGTGAGCAACTTCAGAAGACTGAGGAGGGTGGCGAGTTAAGGGCCAAATGGGAGGACATCTGTGAAGTTCCCTTCATGTGTCTTCCCTTTCATCCATGTGATCGTCTGTCCTTCACACACGTCCACCCATACACGTGCCATTTTAACCACTTATGATGGCACCAGCATCTTGTTATATGGTGGCTCCAGAGATAGGCAGGCAGAGCCCCTGCCTCAGGGTGCTGGCAGCCTGGTAGGCCGGGAGGCGTGGAATGAGCACTTACCCCGCCACTGCTAACTTTGGGCTGGGAATAATAAGAGGGAAATATCCTCCCTGGCCACACTCCCTGAGATCGTGAGGCCCATGCGACACCTGCCTCTTTCTTTCCATCTCACCAGCACTTCTGTTTGCAGAGTGTGGGGCGAGGCCCCTGGCTTCCCGAATAGTCGGCGGACAGGCCGTGGCTCCTGGGCGCTGGCCGTGGCAGGCCAGTGTGGTCCTGGGCTTCCGACACACATGTGGGGGCTCCGTGCTGGGTCCCCACTGGGTAGTGACCGCTGCACACTGCATGCATAGGCAAGTGTCAGGGGCTGCTGGGCAGGAGGGGAGTCAGCAGTCTTCTGTGTAGCTGTGGGCATGTCCTGGGTAAAGCGTCCACGTCCTGCTGTCTTAATCCCCCATGGTGGCTCCTAGTGGGCCCAGTGGTGTTGGTGGAGGTGTCTGCTCCGTGCCAGCACCGCGCTATACGTGGTGCAGTGATACAGTGACTGGCTCTTTACCTTTGTTCCGTTTCGAAGTCGTTAAAATGCTTTCACACCCACAGCACCCTGTGCTTAGTGTTTACCACCATTACAATTAAGTCGTTTCCTGTGTAACTATGTGTTTAATGTCTTTCTTTCCCTCTAGACTGTAAGCGCCACAGGAGTCAGGATCCACAGTCTTGTTTGCCACTGTTTCTCTTTGTCCACTTCCCCCTCATGTCCCCATGGCCTAGAACATCCTGGAATATAGTAGGTGCTTAATACATGCTGGTTGGAGGGCTGTAGGAAGGAATGATGAATGAGCTCTTTGATCTTCTCTTGGTGCTGGGCAGGCAGTATTATCCTCACTTTTTGATGAGGAAACCGAGGCTGGGAGATGTAGGTGTCTCCTTACGCTCACACAGAGTAAGTAGAGAGAGAGGACCGATGGGAGTTTTTCTCATGTGATATTATAATGAGAATTATAATATCTTAAAGCCCCTTTGATGTCTATTATATGTGGCAGGGGGTTTAAGCAGGAGAGGGGGGCTGGTAGTCACAAATGAGCCACAGTGTCTCACTTATCTACCTGCTAGTCTTTGAGCATCTATTAAGCACCTACTGCAGGTTCAGATTCTTGCCCACTGCAGGAAGGGTCCTAAGAGCTGTGGCCCCTGGTTCTGGGAGCTTGTACTGGGTGGTGAGGACCCTGCTAAGGGCCTCTGGCTGGCTTCCTCTACCAGCCGCCTCACTTAAGTCAGCCAGTTGTGCCCCTTCCTCCTCCTTGGGCTCAGCTTGGTTCCTGTGTGCAGTTTCAGGCTGGCCCGCCTGTCCAGCTGGCGGGTTCATGCAGGACTGGTCAGTCACAGTGCCATCAGGCCACACCAGGGAGCTATGGTGGAGCGGATCATCCCCCACCCCCTCTACAATGCCCAGAATCATGACTACGATGTCGCCCTCCTGCGACTTCGGACACCACTCAACTTTTCCGGTGAGGCGCTGGCCTTGGGTGAGCAGATTGTGGGCTATGGAAAGATAGGTCAGGCCCCGGGAGGGCCCGGGGGAGATGCTGAGGTTGAAGAGCCCCTCGAACACAGGGGCTCTTAACACAGCCAGTTCTTTTGGTGACCAGGAAACTTTGCATCACCTAGACCTGACGTCAACTCTTACACAGGTTCTTTTGGGGACAAAGGGTCTGACTCTACAGCTGGGCCATGGGTGACCTCTGCTTCAAGTTTCTAAGCAGAATTTCTCAGTTGCTCCATCTACCAATAGGCTGCTCCACCCCATTCCCAGGCCAGTCCAGCTTCCAGTCACTTTGTGACATATCACACTTGGTAAGATTTGCCAAATATTTCACTTAATTCTCATCACAACCTCGACAGGTGGATGATGCTGGTTGGTACAGGTAAGAACACTGAAGTTTCGTAGGGGAACTTACTCTTCAAGATCATGTTGCAAACAGTTGCTGACTCCAGGGACAGTGGTGTAACTGCCCCGTAACTTCCCAGTGCACTCACACACGTGTGCACTCACCTGCAAATTCACACACTCATGGAAACACACACAGGTGTGCACGCACTCACACTACGCACACTTTACACACCCCCGCTCCTGTGGCCACAGGCACAGCCACCCTCAGGGACTCGTGCACACTCACACACTCAGCACTGCCCCTCCCGTCACCACCAGAATGGATTTCCCAGACAACAGTGTCTGTCACACATTTAACATGTGAGTGCATCCTCGCTGTTTCCACAACTGATATTTCTAAACTGACATATAGATTTAAAAGGAAGACTTAAAAACGTTAAGAGGAGAACTTAAACTCCTGTCTACCTGGAGAACCCATACTATTTACAGTAACTACTGATAGAAAGTGACCACAAAAATACAGAGGGCAAACAAAACAGCTCTGAGTTTTAGCTGGGAGCTGTTCCCTGCAGAATTACTGCATTTGACCTGTCTAGATGGAGGTTGACAAGCCTAATGAGAGGTACAGGGTTGTACTCCATGGCTGTTTCCTGAGGCAGCTAGGGGAATGGAAAGAGACTAAAAAGGACTGACTTTTTCCAAGGGAATCAGCATTACCGAAGTGCAAATCTGCGTATACCCCCCAGCGCCCAACGGGCTCCACACACAGGCCATGTCACACCCCTTTGGCCACCACCCTCTAAGAGGCACCAGACACCTGGGGAAAGCAGGCCCACATGAGCAGTTCGGTGTTAACTCCCTGAGGAATTTCCATTCTCCCTCAGTCTCCAGGTCTCCAGGTAGGGGATGTGTACTGGACACTGCCCAGCTGAGAGGGCCCAGCACACTGACCCCACACTGCAGTTCCCATGCGGGTCTCTGTGTGCATGGTGGCCCCCAAGGCGGTACTGAGCATGACCTGGCAGCTGCCCAGCAGGCCTGGTGGTGGTGGGCAGTGGGGGACAAGGCTGAACCTGAGCGGAGCCTGGGTCTGTGCCTCTCCACAGACACCGTGGGTGCAGTGTGCCTGCCAGCCAAGGATCAGGAATTTCCCAGGGGCCTGCGGTGCTGGGTGTCTGGCTGGGGCCACACAGACCCTGGCCACAGTGAGTCAATTCCCCACCCCTCGGTACAGACGGCCACGAGGGTGGCGGGCGGCCCCTTCCTGAGTCTGGGCATCTCTGTCTCCCAGCTGCATCTTCCCTGGCCACGTGGCCATGCTGATCCCTCTTTCCTTTGGCACCATCCTTGCCAGGCCTAGGTGCTCCAGACTTCTGTGTCTGGGCTTTGGGTGGGTGACTCCTGAGCTTCCCCAAAACCCAAGCCCTTTATTGGCCTCTCCTCGTGTGGGGACTACATGGGCACTTGTGTGTGAGTTCTATATCTCCTCTCACTCCTGGCCTCCCTGTCTGATCGATGACCACCTCCTTGACCAGGGTCCACAGCTCCCACTGTTGGCTCCCCTCCTTGGGTCTTTATACCTGGGGCATGTAATCACCTTCCTCCAAGCTGCTCTGCCATCTGGGTCTAGCTTTGTGCCCTGTGACCTCACTGTCTCTTCATCTTGGCCTCGCTCTCCAGCAGCCCACAGCTCGGACACGCTCCAGGACACAGTGGTGCCCCTGCTCAGCTCCCAGCACTGCAACAGCTCTTGCATGTACAGCGGGGCCCTCACCCCCCGCATGCTGTGTGCGGGCTACCTGGACGGGAGGGCTGATGCATGCCAGGTGTGCCACCATGAGGGGGCAAGGGGAGCAGGAGGGTGCAGGGGCCACGGCCCCTGGTCTGAGCAACTTCATTAGAAGGAGGGATGCCTGGACAACTCCAGCAGCAGCCTAAGTGCTTAGGTGGCGTGAGATAAGCCAGGAAGGAAAGGGGCCTGCACTGGTCTGCTCCCCCGGGAGGGCTGGTGCACCTTCACAGGAAGACTTGCAACCCATTCGTGTCTCTCTGCATGAATTCTTCAGGGGGATAGCGGGGGCCCCCTGGTGTGCGCTGACGGGGACATATGGCGTTTGGTGGGGGTGGTCAGCTGGGGTCATGGCTGTGCAGAACCCAATCACCCCGGCATCTACGCCAAGGTAGCTGAGTTCCTGGATTGGATCCACAGCACAGCACAGGTGAGTGTGAGGGCAGGTGTGGGTTGGGCAGGTGTGGCAATGACTGACGCCTTTGATCCTGTGAACCTCACCCTGTGGAAGGCTGAGTAGGGGCCAAGGGGGTGTTCCCCAGAGTGGGAGGAGAAACAATACTTATAATATTGGGTCCCTGGGATTTCTGTCTGTTTAAGCATTAACTAGGGAAGAGGACACCTGAGCTCGTAACCTCGATCTGCCATTTACTATGTGAGCTTTGTGACTTCCTAACCCTGGTACCCCCAGATTCCTGTTAATAAGCATCCTCACTACTTTATATGCTACTGTCATGATGAAATGAGGTGAGGCTAGCACAGCACTAGGCTTAGCGTGAGTCATCCTATTGTTTACATTTTTGTTTGTGACCATCATTTGCTCCTGATTTCTGTTACTAGTACTCGCATTCCCTCAACTATGGAGAGAGCTCAGCAGTTAATAGTTTGGGTTTAGCAACAAATTACTTCTTGTGTGACACCGTGCAACCCACTCAGTTTCATCCATTAGTGGAAAGATCAAGTGAGATAGATGTAGTTAAAAATACACCTTATCTATATAAAGTACTGTGCAAATTCAGGATGTGATCATGAAAAGCATCTTTCTCTAAAGTTGGGCCTGGGGGGTAGTGTAGGGGAGCCACGCTGTGAACCCAGTTCTGTCTTTCAGTCCAGGACCCCTCCTCTAGACCTCATGCTTCTCGTTTCTCTGCATACCCACCTCACGTATTCTGGGATCTCTGGCAGGTTCACTAGATGGCGAAGAGCAGCAGAAGGCACGGATCTGTTGGTGCCCAGGCCACCTACAGCCCCCACCCTTGGGCCCTGGAACTCCTCACCACAGCCTCCATTTGAGTCCCTGTTTCTCATCCATGATCCGCAGTGACAGGAGAGCGGTGGGGGCTGTGTTGGGAGGTTGGGGTGCTGAGAGAGATGGGGGAGAAGCTGGAGGGAAGAGGCCTCTGGGAACCTACCCTCTGCCCCCTCCTTCCCTAGCACCCACCTGTGTGCATCTTTTGAGAGGGTGATCAGGGCCGCCCCATCCTGCCTGCCCCTTGGAGGGTGAATACCTCTGGAAGAGCCCCAAGCTATGAAGCTTCTGGGCAGCCCAGAGTAAGCCTGTGAGGTTAGGATCCTCCCTTCTCACTTGGTCTCACCTACTTCCTGTTCCCACCTGGCTCTGGCTGACCTGCTGGGGTTGGTGGGAGCACTGTGACAATACTTGGTTGGCATTGGAAGAGGGTATTGGTTTTTAAAAAGACAACTCTGCGAACCAGTCCAAAGAGTTCTGTTATTTTATTAAAGTGAAGTGATTTGTGTTGGTATATACTTGCTTAATTCTATAAATCGGTCAAGTCTGCCGTCAGGATCTGCAGCAAAGGCCCCGGCTGACTTGGTGCTCTGATGCCAGGAGTCGGAGCTCTCTGGGGTCGGGCTTCAGCACAGGACCTTCTTAGCTCTTCTTTCAGAATGGGAACATCTGTCCTGGGGAGGTTTCTTTCCCTGTTTATGCCCTGTTAGGGTTTTCCTGGATAGGCTTCTTCCCCACTTTTCCCTTTCTAGTACTTAAAATGGAATTGGCATTTTGTTTCTAAAAACTACAGTGAATTTTTTATGGTGCTTTACCCAAGGAAATGTAATTAGCATTTAGCAATAACACAACTTTTTCTGGAGTTTATCAGCATCTTCTTTGTCTAAGGGATAGTACAAATGAATATTCATTCCTGAGGGACTGCTCCCTTTGTATGAGGAACACTAAAAATCAGCCTCCATTTACTGTTGGTTTATTGCCTGGGAAGAGGTGCTGGAAGTCTGCTTTTAAGTTGCAGCAGCAGACGTAGGGAAGTCCTGGAGGTGCACAGGGCCTCACCTTGTGCTCCTAGAATCCAGCCGCCAGGCTTCACCCAGAGACCAGCATTTACTGCAGGGAGGAGTTACCTGGAAATGCATTTACTATGGTCTCTTTTATGCTTCTGATGTCCTTCCTCAGTGTTTGTTTATGTAAGGGAGGATTTGATTTATTACAGTCATTATAACCTGTTAATTTTCAGTGACATTAGAATTTTACCTATAGTTTGTGTTGCAGGTGGTATCTCATTTAAATCTCCCAACATGTGCAGATAATATCTACAAAGATATTATTATTGTCACCATTTTGCAGACAAGAAAATTTGCTCAAAAGATTAAGTGTCTTAGTCAAAGTCAGACCAACCAGATAGTAAATGCCACCGAGGACGTGAACTCTGGGTCTTTTTACTGCAAACCCGCATCCCTGTTTTGCACATGGTTGAACAGGATGGCCCAATGTTGCACAGAGTGTAGATGGGAAGGGACTTTATCACCTGGGTTAGTCACCTGCCAACATCACACATTGCCACGCCTACTATTTATACACCGGGTAACCAAAACCCAGGCAGCTAGAATGTGGCTCGTACCAGAGACCCTTCTCAGGCAATACCCTTACAGTTTCTAGTTCTCCATGAGATTCACATTTTGACTTAAATGTTCCAAATGAGTCTCTTCCAGTAGGACTATAAACAAATTCCAAAAGATTAGAAATTGCAATAATAAATTCCCTGTACACCTCGACACTCCTGGCGTCGTGACCAGGCTGTCTGTCAGAGTTGCACTTGGACGTTCTCCCCGGACCTCCTTTACTAGTGTCAGGCCAGCTCTTAGGAAAATGAAGAAAAGTGAGAGCCCTGAACTGCACTGTGTCTCGGGTGAACCGCTAGAACATGAAGCTGGCAGTGGGGGCAAAGGACAGTGGGAAGATTCAGGCCCAGGGCCACTGCGAGCCCAGCGCATTAAGCTCCATAGGGAATTCGGAGTTGGCGGAGCTGACTGCCTTGTTAGAGTGATGAGAGTGTTTGCAGTGAGCCATCAGTGGCCAGCCAGGCACAAAGCTGAGTGGTGGGGCAGTAATTGCTAAGGGACTCCGAGGGTCTCTTGTTAAGGGGCAGGGCATTTCTGCATTCTCCTTCCTGAGGGTTCAGAATCCCCTGAAGCTTCCCGAGAGGGTGACTCCTGGCTCATGTCCAGGGTGGAGCCCTTCTCTCATCCACTCCTCCTGCTGTGAGTGCCTTGGGGGTACACTCTCCTTGCCAGATCTCCCCAGGTATCTTGCTTTGGTTGCTGGGAACAGGGGCAGCCCTGCCATTCCCTGGGAACATTTCATCGTCTCTACTGCATTTTACAGTTGGAGGTGCTGGGCACACCAGCGTCAGAACAGAACTGGAAATGCTATAAATGTTCAAAGAGGGTTCAGTAGTTGTCAGGAAATGGAGTCTCTCCGTCGTTCTCTCTTTCTCTTCTGCCCTCTCCTGGCCATGCGGATGTTCTGAGGAGAGGCAGGTGTTGGTGGAGATTCCCAAGTAGGACTCTGACCATTTGAGAATGTGCTGCTCTGAGCTAGTGACATAAGGGATCTCCTGGGATCTGGCTGGTTATTCTGGGTTTACCTCCAGCTTCCATTACCCTTTGAGACATTTCTCTGCCAGTTTGGACACCGTCGGAGAGGAGATATTTTCTGGGGCAGCTCTAAAGAAACAAGCTTGCTTGGCCACCTCAGGGCCCACACCGGGACAGCACTGTATGTCTCTCCCTTAAGGCCTGCCCCCTGGTCCCTGCAAGGAGGAGACACCAGGCAGAAGACTTTAAAGCCCCTTCTCTAGGTTCTTCTTCCCAGCATCAGCACCTTGGTAGAGGGCTCAGGACAAGCCAATCCTTGACCTGGCTGCTTTCTCAGATGCCCTCAGCTCACTTCTTAACACCCAGATTCTTGTGGGGCCTCTTGGGCCCCAGCTCTCTACACAAAACAAGGGAATTTCCTCCCTACCACAAACATGCCAGATGCTTTCCTTCTGCCTGTTTCATTTGGCAGTTCTTAAACTGGCCACAGGAGCCCCTGCAAGAGGTGAGTAGCATGGAAGGGCACCCAGAGGAGAACAAGTGGTGGTTACTGCCCCTGGGGAAGCTGGGTGGGCTTCTCCTCCTGGTCTCTCCCTTCCAGAGGTGATCAGAGAGGAGCAGAGACTGCCAGACTGCGAGAGCCTACAGGGATTTGTGGGGTTTGTTTTTCCTCAGCACTGTCTGCAGAGGTGAGGGCATGAATAAAAGAGTGAGGAAGATTTACTGTTCCCACAGCTTGGCAGTAGTCCTGTGTTTGAACAGCAGATCCAGGAGAGGAGGGGCTGGAGCAGGTGGGGGTGCTGTGGGAATTACGGCGAGAGTCAAACCCTTCAGAATCTTTCTGCAAGAATCCTACGATGGGCTGGAAGATGCAGCTAGGAGGAGCATTCCTTTTTTTTTTTAAGATTTATTTTTGCATACAGAAGTGGGGTACAGGCCAGAGATGCGGAGGGTGAGAGGATTCCCCAGAGACAGAGTGGGGAACAGAACAGGCAGATGGATGAAGTACCTTGCTGAGGGGAGCAGTGGGCGGGTCAGGAGAGGTCTGTCGTGCCATGTGGGTCACCTCCGGGGCAGGCAGGGATCGAACTCATGCGGAAGTGGCTTAAGCTTCTCATTGCTGTGCTTTAACCCGCTGCACCATCAGGGAGGGCCCAGGAGGGGCATTCTTAGGCCCACCCTTTGACCACCTGGGACCAGGGTGTCCCTTCCACTCGACAGCCTCAACACCCTGCTCCCCGCATGAGCCATCAGCACACAGGTTGGGCCTCACATCTTGAGACCCAGTGGTACATGGTGGGCATGATGAAGGTGTGCTGACAATCGTCCCCCAAACAGGAGGTCTCACCTGTTACTCATGATCCTCATAGTAGGCATAATCAAGAAATAACTTAGACCATTGTCTAGGCTGGCCAGGGCCTGGGTGGACCTGGCTTGGGGCCGGACTTGGGGTGTTTCAGCTGAATGTGACGTGGGACAGGGTCCAGTTATCGCTGTGTGCATGCTCGAGGCAATACACATGGTTTGTTCTTCTCCTGAGGCTGCCCATACATAGGTCTCTTTGGGAATAAAGTTGGTCTTAGTGGGTCAAAACTGACAGCGAGGTAGCACAAGAGTGGAAAGTCTGCAGGACGGTGGTGGCCTCGGGTGGTGATGTGCTGTATAGTGCGTGTGTGTGCATCTGTAGGCGTGAGAATCTGTACATGTGTTTGTGTATCTGTGTGTGGTTTTCCATGTATGTGTGTACCTGTGAATGTGTTTACATATGGATCAATTTATGTTTCTGTATGCTTTTGTGAGTGTGTGTTTGTGTATTTGTTTTGTGGGAAACTTGAAGGGCTGGAGAGAAAGGGTAAAGGGGAGATGTAAAGAGTCCTGGGTAAGTCTCTCTGGAGCCTCTCCCATATGCTGAAAAGGCAGATCTTTTCCTGGCCAGTTTTCCTCCTGAGAACCTGTCTAACTTAGGGTTCAGTGTCAGGGGAAACTCTCAAAGGTAGTATGCGTGTTCATCCAGGCTTTCCTTACCCTTTGGGGCAAGCATGATCATCCTCCCCATCCCCCCAGCCTCCCACACACTGTCTCAATGCTGGCAGACATGATCATATATTTCTAGAAAGAATTAATCATGATAGTCACACACAAGAAATACAAAGCTGTAGCTTGTGTGTGCTTGAGTGCTGTGGTGTGTGTGTGTGCACGTGTGTATGCGCGCGTGTGTGGTCATTTCCCATAGAGACTTTTGAATTTCAAGTCACCCTCCAAAGATGCCGGAGCTAGAGTGTTAGGCCCCATGTCATATATCTAAATAGTTGAAAGCCTCACATCAAACAAATTGTTAAATTTAAAATGTTTTTTCTTCTTGTCATCATAAATATGCCTTCGTGAGGATGGGGAAAGCCAGATCCAAATAAGGAGTCCTTGAATCCTTGGTTCTGTCCTGGTGTATGGCGGGATGGGGAGAGTCAGCTGTAGCCACCATTTCTTTTCCTCCTCTGGTCCACGTCCTCCTGCAAAGGGCTGACTTCCTTGAGGGCAGCGGCTGGGCACGCATCCTACCTAGGTCTGTGCCTACCAGTGGGGTCTGTGCAGCTTCTGGAAGTCGACTCAGGGCCACTTGCATTCTAGAAGAAGGCACGTGGGTGTTGGGTAGACACCTTGCCTTTAGCCCTGTGAACTTCCCTTGGTTGGGGTGGGGATGGGGTGGGCTGGGAGAGGTGCCTGGTCGAAAAAATATCAGCACCTTGCACTGGGACAAAGGAAAGGCAACCAAATCCTTCAGCTACAAAATGGAAGAGGGTGTCACTCTTAGAATCACACCAGGGCAGGCCAGCTCCTGCCTCACCCTGGCCTTTGTCCCACAGGATGG